CGGCATCCGGAGACCTGTTCGGGGCCTCTCTAAAATTTGAATTAATAATGTTTAAGAAAATACATTGTTTTGCGACAGTGAAGATTGAATAAAGTTAGTCGTAGTACGTCAAAGATAGAGAAAGCTTTCTATAAAATAAGATTATAGAAATTTGTAATAATATAATAAAAACAAAAGAACTTTTGTTATTTGTTTCATGATCCATAAATCCGATACAATAAGTCGTTTGTTATTTGTTTAACATAAATTTGAGACTGCTCGGAGAAAAATGTTTCATATATATTGCTTTAGTGACGATTTTTTAAACGTAACTTAATACAAAGTATATAAAAGTGTATATATGTCATATAAATCGAAAAAAATGACTTACCAGCGACCGCCACCGCTAGGAGAGCAAAGAACACGATTGCTTTGGAAACCATTTCGCTGTTTGATGTCAATTCAATGGACTGGCCGCATTTTATACTCGTTTTGGTCGAGTGTATCCAATATCAATGATAACAATACGCTAATAATCCATCTTAATCTACGAGAATTCATAATACGTATTTACGATAAGAAAAAATTTTCGACGTGATTATCCTCATAACTTGATGTATATTGATATAAATATTAAATTAAATCTTGATACAATTGATTTATACAAACAGTGCTACTAGTTTTATATATTGTATTTTGATGAAAATCTGCAATATAAAATAACCTTTACAAATTATACACTTATATTTATGTAAAACGTAGAAATGTATAAATTTCTTAAAGAGAATAAATTATATTTATCCATATTTTATATTTAAAAGTAAATTAATTTATTAACGTAATCGGTCTATTTAAAAAAAAATGTCCATCAATAAATCAAGCAAAAATGTCCAAATAATTAGATAATAGTGTTAAAAAATTGCATATAAATTTTATAAAGCATATTTTAATTATATTCATAATAATTATAATAATGGTTACATTTGAAATAAACAAAATTAAATTTAAAACAACAAATATAATAACTAATAAAAAATATTATTAAGAGAATTAATCTTTCTTTTTCTTTGTGTGATTTGTTTGGATATTGTTTAAATTGTGATGTTTTTATTTAATATAAAATTTATTTAAATGATAACAATAAAACATTATTTCTGCTTTCGATTAAACTGCAAATCCAATTATGATGGATCATTCAGTAGATACATTTGTGTTATCATTATCTGATTACGATCAATTATTGCCTCTAAATGAAGGTATAAAGAGAATGCGGAAAATCAGTAATTTGTTTTATGAAGGAGATCAAACGGATTTGGTTTTTGATTTATTGATTTATCATTGTTTTTGATGAAACAGATTTCCCGGTTTCAAATTCCAATGTAATTTCAATAAACAATTCAGATTACAAATAAAATAATTATGGAGGGGATTTGTTTAAAAGGCTAAGATATCCTTGTGCAAAATATTTATTTAATTCTTTCTTTCACTCGCTTTCAACGGTTTACCATGTACTGTAAGTAGAACTGCTAATTCAAGTGCATTGCAGATTTTAGCAATTTTATTTAACCAAATTAATTAATATAGAAAGAAAAATGTATATACAAATTAGTAATTATCATTTTATATTATTTAATAATAACAATAATAATTAAGTGAAATAACAAAGAGCTGGAAATAAAATTAATATCACGGTAGTAAAAAGCTTTATGGCAGATAATTAATAATGTTAAAAGGATAAAAATAAAGAGTATCATAAAACTGAGTTAATAAAGATTTTAAATTATTTCTTAATGTCTAAAATAATATTTTTATTATTAACGCAGAGGACATGTAACTGAATCATCAATATTGGGATAATATTATATATGACAATACTGGGGTTAACTTGAGTGACAAGCATTTTTCTCGACAAAAAATTCCACGATTAAATCCTTCTCTATTCTAAACATAAAAATAAAAATGATTCATTTTATCACATTTCATACTCTTGTATATTTTTTTAAAGAATTCTGCAACTTTACATTTTATACACTCTTTATTTTTTTTGGTTGCATATTCTATACAAGTAGTAATATTTTTATAACAATAGCTTTTAGCAAATAATAAAATTAATTACATTAGTAAATGAACGAATTAATTTTGATTATATCAGACACTTTTTATTATTTTACAGAACTAAAACTTTTCTGTTGTGGCGATTCATCGCACAGCCTCAAATAAATTAAATATAAAAAATGAAAGTTAACGTAAAATAGATTCCTGCTAGATGTCGACATACATGAGTTATACATGCACGCATGAGTCAGACATACACACATGTACCACATGTACATTAGGTCAAATACAAAAAACAAAACCGGATCGATTAGCGCGGATATCCCCGGCTTAGGTAAAAGACAGAGGAATGACATGTTTTTCTAAAATTCAGTAATGACACATAACGTTTAAAAGTGGGGGACTTCGGGCAGCCGATCCGAGAAAGGTCAGAGAACAAGAAGTCGGGTTAGAGACATCGAATTGTACAGTCGCGAAGAAAGTCACGCGAGTTCGAATAAAGACCTAAAAAAAGACTTTAACGTGAGACGAATAATATTTAATCAAGTCCGTCATTTCACTGTTTCCTTACTCCGGAATATATAACCCGATAATTTTTATCGCCGCGCGCCCCGAATCACCAAACTGTTATCATTTATTTTGCATTATTATTAATTTATTATAATTTTCGTAAAAGCTGTATACTTATTTTACATTTTATATTAGTACTACTTTATTGCGTATGAAAGAATTTTGAATATTAAGATTATTGAAATATTTGATAAAGTAATAACTTGTAAGTAAAATTATTTATTAAAAAGTTAGTAAATAAAATTATGTATTTTAATTGTTTCCTTTCTGTAAAATTAATTTTAATAATATCTTCACAAACATGCACTAATTAATCGTTAAATGCATTGCATACTAAAATTTATACGTACTTAACATAAATTTAAATTAATTTTACTCAATCTTGTTAACACACTTTAAAAATTAGAAGTTAAATTTAATATTACAAAAATAAATTATTAAAATAATTATTTAAATTGTATTGTACACTTATCTAAAAGTATAAACTAAAATGATAAATTAATTTAATCAATTTTTTAGTAATGATTTATTGCAGTTTTGGCGCCTAATTGTAGACAGGTTAGACAATTACTATTCATCTTTTATTTTCTCTTTTTATATCATACATGTAAGATTCAGATAATGAATATACAAATGTGTATCATATGTAATTAGTTTATTTCAAACACGTACAATGTAACATTTTCAGTATTGGCTCTGTTTTAGTTAAGAAATTTTTCTTTAATTTATAAATTAAAAATTTTAATATTAAATAAAGTATAGAATTATTTCCCGAATATAACTTTAAGGAGCAGGTACATAATGGGTAAAAGATGGCGGAGAAAGGAGCTATTTAATATAATTATGTATTAATAACATTATTGATAGTTTAAATTCTCCAACCATATTGTCATCTGAATCCAATTGATGTAGAAAGCTACACGAGTGTAGACCGAAGGCATTTTATTAACACCGCACGGATAGACTCCCCATGAAACGATACCGACCTGAACGGGGTAATTTTTATTTACAAATTTGACCAATGGACCGCCAGAGTCACCCTACAAAAAAGATATTTAATTAGTAAAGATATTGTGCAAAGAAAATGTTTTTTACTTAATTATCAATTCCCTTTTCGTTTAATTTCTTATTTAATTACCAATTCTGTTTGTTACTGCTACATTAATAACAATGTATATATATATATATATATATATATATACATATATTATATATAAATATAATACATTATATATTATAATGTAACTTTAAAATATATTTTGATTACAGATCAAAATTAAAAACCAATGCTGTTTAGAAGAGATTAATAAAATAACTAATTAAATAGATAAATTAAATACTACTATGACATTAATAATGTAAAATTAAGAAATAAAGTCTCTTTATAATCACGTAATTATAATTGTCGCAGTACCGATTAATTATTAGAACAAGATATAAATAGTTTAAATTAGACTTACGGAACAAGCGGATACTTCTCCAACAGCTTCAGTGCAGATTTGTGAATCATAGACTTTTGGTGCGTCAGGCCCTTTCGTGAATTTTTCTTGACAAGTCTCATGATCCAATAAGGGAACAGTAACTTTTTGAAGAACTTTGGGAAGTACTGGAAGCAATTTCTTGGAAGTAGATCCCCATCCAGAGAGCACAGCATTTCCAGTAATTACCTCGTCTTGTTGAGGTAAGTTGACAGGAGATACCCTCTCGTTAAAAGTGAGAGGTGTCTTAAGTTTTAAAAGAGCAATATCGTACGGAGCGACACCTCTGAAAAAAGCAATACAATTTATTCCAAAATATCGTGATTACTTTTTTGATAAATTAAATTATATTATCAGTTAAAATAAGGCAAATACCGATTGCAAAGAATTTATCAAAAAATGATTTATATCATGATACAGATTGCGAATCGTGAAATTATTGCGTATGATAAGTGTATGTGTACTTTTATATTCTTGGAAGAAATAAAATTCATATATATTTACACGTATACATATGTACATATAGATTTATATATATTTTTTTGCTATATTTCAAAACTGTTTTCAATATTTTAGATGTAATCTACATTTGTGATTCTAATATCTTATATATATATATATATATATATATATATAAAACGAAAATATTGTAGAAATAATTATAGACAATTTACAGTGCTTAGTGGGGCCGATTGTACCAGAGGTATCTTTGATCGATGAAA